GCAGCAACAAAAAAAACATAAATTTTCCGCGTGTGTTACTGGTTTTATACTTTGCGAATTGCGCACTAGAAATGCGCGCTATGATCGCAATTCCTGTTCATTTGCCTTGAAACTTTGATCATTTGCATGTTCGATCAAGATATTTTTGCATACCAAATTTCGTCACGATCGCAAAAGTCCTTCTTGGTGCTTCGATTATTTGCAAAAGAGTGTATAAAGAATTTTATCAAATAAGATCAATTTTATTATCTTAATAAACTTTATTATAAAACATTTTTCTGTGTCATTTCTTTAAAGCATAATTAAAAATTTCTTCCCTCTGATCTTTTTGGGATTATTCGTCTTTTTTGATTAGCTGTGAATTAATAAGCTTGAATAAGTGTATTAATTTGTATGCATGTACTAATATGAACAAAGCACTCTAATAATCATCTTACCCTTTTATAGGAAGAGAGAATGTATCATAATATGAAAGCATAATGCCTCCCTATTCTTTCTTTTACATACAGTATACCGGGAGAATAATTTGATATAATTGGAACAAATTAGTATTAGGTATTTTATCCATTTCCGTAATAAAAGGTAATCTTGTAGAAAGTGTTGCTTTTCTCGTCTTAAATGCCCCAGTTAAACAGAATAGCAGGCATTATCATTATGTTTTATGGGTCACTAAAGGTGAAGAGACAATTTTAATTTCAATAGCTGCGATATAAGTAAAACACATCTTTCATTCCTAGATGCAGATATTTTCTATTTGGAAAATTTAATTTTAACTGTATCGCTAGTTAATAAAATTAATTGCATTTAATAAAGATTTATTAAAAGTTCCTAAAATTTTCAACTGCATTTTGTTCCTTAAATGACCAAAAAAATGTCCTGCATTTCTGTTCTTTGTTTCCTACTTTGTTCCTTTGACTATGAATTTCTTTCATTTTGAAAAATAATTACGTAATTAAGGCCAGTGTTTTTGAAAAATTTCAAACTAAACAATTTATCCATGCCATAGTTAATTATTTATATGCTAACAGGACAAGAATGACAGTTTAAACAGCATACAAAGCAATCAGTTTGGAATCACTGAATAATATTTTCCGTATTTATAGAAAATGATTGGATCTGTACTCTTACGTTTTTGTTTTGTTTGTTTTGTTTCTCTAATGTTTCAGAGAAAGGAGGCTCTAGACTAAGTGCTCAAAACAGATCATGGACAACTGCTCGAATGAGAAGCTTAAATGGCTAAAAAGTTGCCGTATGGCTTCAAGTAAAACCAGCTGTGCTTGTTGAGGAAGGAAATGGATTTTAGGACGATGGAAAGCCCGTGCTGTTTGGAAAAGTATTCATTACACTTCTGCATTTACTTAAATTACAAAATATGGACATCTTATGAAAATTTCTAGAAGCATATATGATATGTCAAAATAATAACTGAAATATAAAATCTTCAATATTACTAATAATACAATTATTCTTGAGCAAATACTCATGCAACTCGGCAGATTTATCAGCTTCAAAATCATTCATTAACTGACTATAAAACTTTTTGTTCTAATACGCCACCTCATCTGTATTAAAAAAAGTAAAAATCTTAGTTTGGCGTTTTGTAGAATGATGATTTTGAAGGAGTCATGCAATGATGTCCTTCTTTTTCAAGGCTTATAGAAATGAAAAGAAACTTTAGAATACTTCTGAGTTTTGAAAAAGAGAGACAACTTGACGTTTCGAAACCGATAGAGTTTCTCATAAAACCAATAACAAACTAGCTTAATTTTTGTCTAATTTTATACCTCATATTGCCGTCCATCTCTTTCATATACCACATCCGTAATTTATATATGATAATATACGGAATTTGTATTCAGACTTAATTTAAAATAATTGTTAACGTATAAAAACTGAAAACAGAAGTTTAAAGAAAAGGCGGGTTTCCATATAAAATCAAAAGCTGATGGCATCAAATTTCTTTTACCGCCAAACGGGACTATTTTGTAAAGGCTTAATTTTTTATACTTGTTCTTTGATATATAGTTATTAACTGGTTTCAAAAATCAAATAATGAATACTATGTACATTTTAAATACTTTTCTGTAGAACAATAAGATTCCGTATTATTGGAAGTACAGTTAATTAGAATTTTCATATAAAGAAGCAGAAAAAAATCATCTGTCATTAAATAAAAGAGTAAACAAATATGCGAATTAAATTCAGTAGCTTGTTATTGCTAAATTGACTAAATAATATTAATTATTTACATAAAACTTTTCTAACGTAGCAGTAAAAGCTAAAGTAAAAATACTTTTAAATATTTATTTTAACTTACTGCTATGAATTGCATACTAAGCGAGTAAAATTACACTTAACAAAAACTTAGCGTACATTTTTAAAAGAACAAATTGTAAAATCATATATTAATGATACATTTTATTTTGGATTCTTAACAAGTGTAATTCTTTAAAATCTGTGTGATTTTATACATACGGTATTTTAGGAATTATCATAAAAATGATTAATATTTCAAATATCAAGCTTAAAATAATTCCTCTCCTATGTTTCTAGTATTATATGTTTATTAAGAAAATAATAACTAAACCATTAATAAACAGCCCCGAAAATACTGGATGCTTTCTAGTTTTCTGTTATCTGCCACACTGTATATTACTAATTTAAGCAAAAAGGTAATTTTACGATAATGCAACTATCTGACTTAGCGGCAGAGTGAAAGAAGCAGATCTAGGTAACCACGTGAGCCTGAAACCTCACTCACATAAACAACACTTACAGATAGAGCAAAACGAGATGCTCATGAATTGAGTTTTTGAGTAACGTATATATGCGTCGATTTCCTTTACACAATCTCCCAAAAATGCGTGGTTGTGAAAGCAGAGGCTTTTATAAAATTGACAATACAAGACTTTGAGAGGATCTCGAAAATTAAATAATAATATGATAAAAATAGCAGATAGACTTAGCATTTTAAATCTCTTAATATATAACAAGTTTCACTTAAATGAGAAATCATAGTATCTGTACAGCTACAACTCGATGTTCTTAGAGTATTATTTAAAACGTTAAAAACATTTGCCTTATTTCTGTCTTGTATTCTCTCAGAAGTAAAACATGCAATGAAACAAAAAGCTATAAGCTGTAGTAAATATATGCAAATGCTATTTTTATTTCCTATTTCAACAATAATCGTGTTATATAAGAAATATAATACTTCATGGTAATTTGTATCGTCCTTCAACTCACAAATTATCAAACGTCTTACATGATTAAAAGCATCCATCTTAAGAACATTTGTCTTTAATGAACATAGACTATTGCGCTGTGGTGTTCGTTGCAAATAGTGCCTTAATAATAATATTTACAGCATCCACACAAAGAAAACGCATTAGCCAAAGAACACAATAAATGAACTCAGATTGCATTCCTTGATACAGGATATGTACCTGAAAATTTACAACAGTTAGTTGCTTATATGATACATAAACTAAATGCAATGACTGGATGAAATTTGTGTTTAAATAAAGACTATACTTTTGCAAGCTATAGGAAGTAAGATTTGAACTAGGAATTAGTTTTTTGAAGGGATCTTTGATTCTCTGCTCGAAAATATATAAAATGCTAGTATACATATTTTGCATGAAAAAGAACGAATATTTATATGTATAAATCACTAAAATAGTTAGCTTTAAGGAATTATTACCAAATTATTTATGGTTACACTACTCTAATTATTTCAACATCTTTTCAGTATGTGTTGATATTATATTTTAAATGAAAGCCTTTCACTGAGGAGAATTTAACATCATTACATCAACTCATTTATTGATGCATTTAAAACTTCCTTCCGAGTGTAAAAATCTTTCTTCAAATCATACGTTTGAATGAATCTTTTCCGCCAGACTATAATTTTATTAAATTACACCTCAGTTCTGGATTTGAAAGAAACAGAGGCAATCAATATATAAATAAAAGGGATCTTCCAGTTACTGATCAGAACGTAACATCTGATCGCAGCCGTCGGTAATCTAGGAATCCTTAGAAGAAAGATGTGATCTTGGCGATCTTCCAACTTGGGATCTGCACATACGCAAAGAGTGTCTGCTGAAATGCTTCTCTCCTCAGCATTGTCGAGATCTTAAAATAAACCAGTCACTTTTCGGAGCCAACTTATTTTAATGGCAATACATAATTCGTCTTCATTTTCCCAAATAGTAATAAAATATTTAGTTATAATAATTTTTAGCTTAATTCCATCTGATTCATAATTAACTGAATACCAATTGAAAAAAAAAACTAAATATAAGTATTCTAAGCAACAGTGTTGAGCAGAATTAAAACGGATGTAACAATACGAGGGGGGAAGCTTAATCATTTGTTCTCAGGTAAACTAATTATTGGGAAATTAAGAAGAATTCTTTTTTCATTTGTCTAAATAACTATTAGAATTAGCTCTAAGAAAATGATGAATTTATGGGAAATGATGTTAAAATGCAATAAAATAAAAGATGCAATAAAGCTTAATAAGACATTACATGGGTCATGCAATTCGCAATATTATACTTGAAGATTTCATATGAATTCATTTTTTACAAAACTATAATCTGAAACGCTATTACAATTTCATATCCAATTTTATATGCATAAACCATTGCTCTGGGTTATTTCAAAAGAAAACCTTTAAGTAAACTGTATTGCTTAAATGAAACTGAGTTCTCTAAAAGGTAATACGAACAGATATGACAAGTTTGTTTTACTACAGTTAAATTTTATCTGATGTTTCGCCACTGATCAGAAAGGTATTGCTTCTTTTTGTCAGAATTTGCTTAGATAATGCAAAGAACTGACTTATATACATACACTAACATTTTTGTATAGAAGAAATATTAAATTGCTATATTTACTTCCCTAAATGAAGGTACATATTAAGACATTCATTATCGACTTCAACATTTTTATAAGCATTAAGTACAGAATAAGAGGGGGCAAATCAAGCTTACTTCTGAATTTCTTTCGTATGGCATCACCGTGAAATAAAAGATAAGCTAGAAACTCATCTTTTAGCATCCTCGACTCAACGGCGCTGTTCAGACGCAGAAAAACTCCCCACTGATAATTTGTTACAACAATGGAGCATTAAATAGAAAGCCGCAAATCCCATACCCGTTTGCTTTGCAAGTTCTCAATAAAAACAAGTTCTCAGAATAATCGCGCAAATTTCAACTCGAGCAATGGCGCTCGGTACTTCTTCCTTTTTGCTGCTTTTAATCCGCTGTTTGGTTTCGCGCATGGCAGGTCGGCAGGGAAATCGCCATCTACCGAGTATGACTGACGTTCCGGAATGCTCTCTTAGGGTGGCTCACTGGGTGCTGCTCAGCGTTTGAAGATGAAGGAGGGATGGGAACACTGATGAGAAATCGATTCTCATTTTGCGCGCCTCTCGAATGTTATCCTTGATCACTGGAATTATGGGTGTTCCTTGTTTGTTAAAAAGGTCTGCCAGTAAAATATCAGTGAAAATGTTTTCTTTCAGCATTCATTACGAATATCCGTAGAGACACGACATTTTTATATAAATGATTATAGAATGACTTGATGAATATGACAAAAGCAAATTTTTAATTAAAACAAATGTGAAGAAGGATGATATTTTTCTCTGCATGAATTTTACCGCTGATAAAACAAACTGCGACCTAAGAAAAGTATTAAAAAATATGTTTTCTAACCTTCCTGTTTCCATTTCTAAATGACTCAGGTTTAGAGTGAATCTGCAGTAGGTTTTCTCAATGCTTCAGTCTGCTCCTTTATAATCAATTTATTACGCGGGATTTAGTGGAAATATTAGTTTTTTTATAATGATTCTATTACTTATTTTCAAAGATCTTTCAGAACAATTAACTATGTTTTTTCCTTCAGTGTGAAGTGGGAATTAAATGTTACAGTTGCGAGCAAAAAGTTTAGACATTTTTTGAAATTTTCCTCTTTTCCAACTTTGCATACACACACACATACACAGATATATATATATATAATTATAATTTAAACTAGTGGTAACATCTTAATTCCCCCTCTTTATTCCCAAAATAGTAATAATAAAACTTTTTTTCTGGTCCGTGTCATTTCTAGGTTAATCCATCTTGCATGGCGTTGCTAACTCGGAAACTGAACTCAAAATTTCGAGAACTGAAACCTCTTTAATCTAAACAAAAACCTTCTCTTGTTGAACCTTCACATTAGCTAACTGCGCACTTTTAGCTTCAGCTCTCCTGCGGTCAAGATACTACTTCTATCCGTTTGCTTTATCGTGCTAATAACTATGCCATTATCTAAAATGTGATACTTTATATATCTGAGTATATATACTCAAAATATGCTCAAAATTTTATATACATATATTCTATGTATTCAAAATTTTGGGGAGCGAATTGCGCTCATGATCATGTGTGATGAAAAATATACTGATAATTAGTTCGTATCCACCAATGAAAGTTACATTCAATTCGGCCGCGTCTGTCTACGAGTCTTTCCTTCGAATGTCCTCTTTCTAACTACTCAGAAAAGTCCCCCCCCCAGGATATAAGGCAGAGAACAATAGTTGTTGAAACTCTCACCGACCACCACGTGATTTGCGCATGCGCGGCAAAAAACTGAAAACAGAACTATAACTGAATTTTTAGAACTCGTGATGGACGTTTGAGTGAAACATGTAATCCTTCTCTTCTGTGTTATATATGTGATATTTTGGCAGTCGAGCACATGAGTGACGAAGCTTGCCATCAGAGTCCGGGCATTGTTTGGCCTGAGTGGAATACAGCAGAAATGACGACACAGAAGGATTTCACTTTTTACTATGCCATATCTTTATTTCAATTTTCACCGCAGATCATTCTTACTTTAGATGAAGTTCTCCAAATTAATATTCAATAGTGTTTAACTAAGTACGATTAAATTAGACTTTCTGCGTCATTAACTATTCTAACAAAGGAAGAGGAATTAAGCAGCAGCGAAGTGTTGTAGCGCGGAGGAGACAAGCAATCTGATTCAAAATGGCGCGACTCCGTTATTATAGAAAGCGTACGTAATAGGCTGGAATGTTCTCGAAAATACTGGTCTAGGGGGAAGATCCTGAATTGCAGAAAATTAATTAAAGGTTGCTTGTTCGCATAGAGCAAAGCCGTCCTGTTTTTTATATTTTACATCTCCCCCCCTCAAAAACAACAGGCGGTCGAGCAAAGCATTAGTAGATTAATGAAGCAAGAATTATGAGGAAAGACATGAAGAAACATCCAGGACATAGCTTACCTGCTTAAACTATGTCCTGTCCTAAATCATGATATTTCTCATATAATTATAAGTTTGATTTACGATTTTACAAAGATTATAAATAAATAACTAAATTTATAACTATAAGACAATAATATATGGAATAATAATAATAAATAAATTACGAGCATAAAAGTCCTTTATTTTTCTCAAAATGTGCATTGAAAAGTTTGTAAAGTCCTTTTCATAGAATGAATATACTGGTGAAGTCTCTTGACGCCAGATCTGACGCCCACAAGATAAAAATAAGCTTACAAATATTATGCACTTTTTTCAATGAATATGGTTCCGTAATCATTTTTAAATAGAAGATGTTTAAAATTTTTGCAGGGAACTCTTTTTCATATAAAACTTAGAAGGTACACAACTTATGCATAATTGATTAGGTGCATTCATTCTTCTCATCGTAGGTAATTAACAATACATTGACATATTTTAAATTTGAAAATTCAATACAAAACATTGTAATATAATACCTTAAGAAAACAATTCAATATAAATCTATAATAATATAATACAATAAGACATTAACACTTTGAATCAAAAGTTTGGCATGTCCTCTCCAACAGATCAGCGTGACTAGCTTGCTGATGGTTGGTTGGTGCTAGGTACAAAATATCAAAAAAACCTCCGTTGCCTAATAAAAGGTAACTGGTTTTAGGCATTGTATATTGTATCAAATTGTTTTTGTAAAAATACAAAATCCTACAAAATTAAATTTTAACACAAATAACTTGTATGATCAAGTTAAAGTCTTTACTAAAATTTTGGAAACTAGAAATTAATATTACCTTACAACAAGAAGAAAGAAAAAAAATTGTTACAAAATAATATAAGAAAGAAGATGTTTAGTTTTCGAAAAATTATGTGAAAAATACAAAAGGTCAATATCGGGAAAATAATTTGTTATAGTTAGGGTTTAGGTCTAGATCAGGTATTAAAAAGTCATAATCAGGAAAAATTTTAATAGAGAATTTTGAAAAAATAAAAATGAAATTAATTATGGAGAGAGATAAGAATTCTACAATTTCTAACATTTAATTTAAATTCACTTGCTGGATTAAAAGGTCTTCGCCTAGTTGAACGAACAATTTCTGATTTCTTTTTAGTTGGAGGATTAGGTTTATCAATTTCATAAATAACTTCAGAATATTGTTTTAGAATTTTGTAAGGTCCTGAAAATGGAGGAGAAAGTTTACGTGTATTAGGATACTGAAATTCTTCATACATTACTAAAATTACGAGGTTTATAATGAGTATCATATCTTTCTTTATTTACATTATGATAATCATCAGATCTTTTTTGAGCTATTTGTCTACCTTCTTCTTATTGGTGGATATAATTCTTGATTTTGAATTAAGGAATCATAAGGTAATTTTCCATACATTAAGTATGATGGTGGGAATTTTGTTACAGAATGAGGGTGTTATTACATTCTTCAGTTAATTGGGGTAATAATTTTGTCCACGCAATATAACCTTGATAGGAATTTAGTTTACATTTTAATCTAGTTTAACAAAAATAATCCATTTTTGTTTTTTGAAGTTCTTGCACTATTCTCAATTTGTGAAGATCGTAATCCAGCTTGTGCTTTTCAATTTGTCTTTGCTCTAACAGTTTTCGATCCGAAATAGCAGTTGTAAGTAAATCTTGAACAAATTCATGATCCTTTTTGTATTCTGCACTGTTAAAAATAATTTCTTTTAAACCTGCTATTGTAACGGTTGGTGGTAAACATTCACCAGTTTCTTCCACAACTTGTTTCAAATCTTCTTTTTTAAAACCTTTTATCACTTTAAACATCTTTAAATACGAAAATAGTCCTGTAACTGGACGCCAGAAACGTTAAAGCTTACAAGAAAAAAGTATCACCAACCTTTTTCAACTTTCAGTACTTAAAATCATAAATCACACTTCAGCACGAAGTAGCCTTTAATTAAAGACTCGCATCATAGATTTAAAGATAGTCTCTATCATTAAAACACTATAACTGCGGTGATTATTTACACAATAGACTCAGTTTCAAAGAAAACAAACTTTATTGTCACGAAAAAAACAATGATGCCCCTCACTTGTTACATCGTTCACAAACTTGAATATCTCCTACTGTTGCCACACACAAGTAGCTAAATTTTACTAACAAAATACGTAAGGCGTTATTAACATTCATCACGCTTATAAGCTAAAGTTACAGGAGCAGCATAAGGACTGTAAGAAGGTTTAATAATTCCATTATTGAACAACTCATCTATTTGCTTCTTAATTTCACTATTATCTTTAGGAAATGCTCGATATGGTCTATAGGCTATTGGTAATTCAGAAGTTAATACAACTGTTGGGGGAGGGGGTTCAATCTTTATACAACCCACATCATATTTACTTTTAGCAAATATATGATTATAACTATTCAAGAATTTTTTTTATTTACTGGCAAAATTTGCACTATTTTCAAAATAATTGCCAGACGTTTTAGTACTAATATCACTTTTACATACAAAATTTTACTGTTCCAATTTACAGACTGTTTAGCATTGATATCATTTTTACATACAAATTATTTTGAAAAAACTTAGCTAATTTAACTTTTACTCACGTTTTCTACACTGATAACTTGATAATTATAAAAATTCAGTTGTAATTTGAACAATGAAACACAACATGAGGATAATAATAAATAATTTTAATTAGAATTTACCACATAAAATATTACATCATTAGTGAGTTTACCTATTTAACATGATATTTTAATAATGTTGTCTACATGAATCTGACTAGATAGCGAATATAATTTGCTATTAGATTTATCTTCAACTCGTTCATATTTTGTACCAATACCCTTAAAAATATTGTAAGGAAGAACATTTACCTGGGAACCAGTATCAATAATACTTGGTACACTTTGTTGTCCAATTCGGACATTAACTTTGAAATAAAATAATTTTTTCTGTTCATTTTTTGGCGCCGTATTATAATAACTTATTGAAGGAACTTTT